TATATAATTATCTTACACTTCCTCCTCTAAAGCTATAGTAACAATACCCAATTCTTCATTAGTGAAACAAGTAATCTTGTACTTCACTGGATGCATAGGACCTACTACGGATGTGGGTAAATAGGTATGACTGTTCGATACTGATTGGATATAAATAGAGCTATAGAGAGACAACTATACGGCAGCACATTTTTTGTATTCCCTGTTTTTTTTTTCGAGAAAAGCTTGGAGTCGTGATCGAGGAACATGGACAAAGGTTTTATCAAGACAGATAGTTGGATATACTTGGAAGGTTGCAGTTCAAAATAATGAGCAGACAACAACAAAACCAAAAACTTATACTGAACATTGCAACAAACTGTAAATGTGAAAGAACATTAAACACCTGGATGCTTTTTTCAGATCATAAATTAAATTGGAAAAAATATAGAATATACAACAAATATAATAAGAAAAATCATTTATAAATTTATTACAGAAAAATAACCTTAGAATTATATATTCCTCAGATTATGACCTAATTGTCTAAGCAAGTGCGTGAAAAATCATATTGAGGGGTCCATTTGTTGCAGAAAAATATATAATCAAAATAATGTACTCTATAAAAGAAAAGATCTCTCACTGATCTCTTATTTCAAGAGAGTGGCTTACTTACAATTAATTGATCATCAATACAATAATTATGTTTATAGAATATCAGACATGATTGCTGTCAAGGTGTTCAGCTGCTGCAGGTTAAGTTATCTACTTATGCAAAAACATATACAGGGTGTCTCAAAACAAAGGCGAACATCTTAATTAATTATTTGCTTAAAATAAAGGTTATTTTGTTATATAAATAAATAAATTGGGCTATAAATGTGGCGGAAAAGTAATGTTTTTTTTATCTGGAAAAACGGAAATAGGTAAAACAATAAAATATTACTGAAGCACATTCGCTGCATTTGTTTTTAAATGAGTGATTGAATTACACTACCCCATCATTTTTCTTAAATTTAAGGAAAACTTTTTTGTCCCTGCAATTATTCTACAAAACTTACCCTTACCACGAAAAGAAAGTTATTTTAGGAAAATAATTTAGTTGGGTGGTGTCAAACCAACATTTAAAAATTATCTTTTATATTATTATATTTAAAAAATAATTTCTTTATTTAAAAAAAAAACTCAAGTATGGAAGCCACGTGAAGCAAAACAAAGATACAATTTTTATAGGGAGATCGAAGCGGCTGCTGATGAAGTCAACCTCCCGGATTTCATAAGTACTATTTAAGCTTAAATGTGCAGATGCACCATCATGTATGCAAAGTATGTCGCTTCTAGCAAACAGGCATATTTTCTAGAAAAAGATGTAATTCTTCCTGTAGAAAACGAAAATAGGAGTCACCAGTTAATCTTAAAGGTAGACCTAATTAAATGATCATCCATAAATCATAAACAAACGTTATTGAATGCGAATTATTTTTTGCCAATACACCTGTTGTGAAAGTTTTGAATTGAAAATATCGAAAAAGGATCATCGGTATTCATTCGGCGAAACCATTGGGAAAAAATCATCCTCGGTTTGTAATCTCTTGATTCTTCATACAGATGCATCAGTATTTAATTCTGTTTCAATTTTCCTGATATTTGTCTCCGGTTGCTTAGCACAACAACTTCTGCTCCGGATATTCAAACTTCACAGTGCCGGTCGGTATCAAAACTCCCTTTTGTTCCAAACTTCCAGACTCGTTCAAATCATTCCAACGGTTGACTTTCAGCCCAATATTTATGTAATGAACTACGCTCCATTTTAAGCGATTTTTGCATTTTGTTGGGTCACAAAAGCACATAAACTCACTACCCTTAGATTTTAGGTATTTTCCGTACAAAAAAAAATCGGCTGAATATAGTCTAAATGACTTCATATCAGATTTAGTTGCGATTGCAGCAACTTATAATTGATTGGGTATGCCCCACAGATTCAATTCCATTGAGCAGCTGAGTTAATAACAGCTACAAATAATAAGGGCTTTGTATATTCAACAATGTTTATACAACATATGTTGTAAATTTATTATTGTTACTATTCAATAAATCAGTTAATCAGCTAATCAGTTAAGAATGACTATGTGTGGAATGTTCTCAGAAATGGTTGTGGCCGATATAAATCTAATGTCGTTCTACTACATTAGCTAGAGCATAAAATGATATATATAAATATATATAAATGTGGAATATATGCAGATGTTTTTGTTTCAATACAATTTTCTAAATGACAGACAATTATTTTTTTTATTTTAACGTTACCTATTTCTGTTTTTTACAATTGTTTTATTGAATCGAAGGTATATAGAATCTAAATGCCAAAAGAAGTTAAAATTCATAATAAACAAAAGTTAATTTTTTTACGTAGTGTAATTTTTTTATAGTTTATGCACACAAGAGGCAAGTGTAAAAGAAACTTCCACAGGCTACCGTAATACTTTTTACAAAACTTCTAGATTCCTCCTGCGTCAGTTTTTGTTGAGTCGAACTTGCTGACGTTTCGTCAATCATCCGGTTGGCTTCTTCAGAGCTTAAGTGTCAGTTGAGCTCTGAAGAAGCTCAGTTCGACTAAACAAAAACCCACGCAGGAGGAATGTAAAAAGTAAAAGTGTAAAAGAATTAGAAATGCAATGTCAAAAGAAAAACGGAACTGAAAGTAAGTCAGATATAATAAGCCTCAACCTAAATGTGGATATGGAGCGTAGATTATATTGCATATAGAATCTTGAGGGTCGCTTGAGACTCGGTGGTCGATTAGTTGAGTTTTGCGATATTTAAAATTTTTTGTTATTATTGAACTATTTTAATTTTTACATGCAATAACGGAAACGGAAATGATGCCATCTATTGGGCGACAGTCAAAAGCGATATCGATTCTCGGATCTAGCCGGTTCGCATGGACGGTTTTTGAAGCGAAATCTTCTCAAACTTCATCCGTTCGATAGCGTCTGCTTTGCATTTTCTTACAAGAGTTCCATTTTTTCACGAAATGTGAATTAAAAAAAAGATTTAGTGTTCCTTATCTTTTATTTATATTTTGATTCATAAACCGAGATAGTACTAAAATGCAAATCCGTAATAAATGCTCTGCAATGCAACCGTTTCCAAAGTAAGATTTTTAGATTTAAAAAAGTTAAGAAAACATAAAAATTTTATTCGATGTATACTAAGAAAATGTTCTACTATTTCATTAAGCATAATCCATAAAATTGCAAGTACATGTGACAACTTCGCAAGTAGTGAAAAACTGTTTTAAAAAGAAAGAAATATTTTTGCACTAAAATCAATGCCAAACTTATTATTTATTATCTTCTCCTGCGTCGATTGTTGGTCAATAGAACTTGCTGACGTTCGTCAATCATCGTTTCTTTTTTTCAGAGTTTAACTGAAACTGGTTCGCATTCTACTTCTTACCTGCTCATGTACTGTTTAATGGGGCGACACTAAAGTAGGGACATGGAATAACCAATTCCCATAATGGTGAAAGGTAACCTGAGTCGCGGTTAAGATTGTTTCTTTGTTTAGAGCTTTCTGAATTCTCAGATTTTTCATTGGTAGAAGAATTGATTACATGCAAGAATTTTAGCTTAGTCAACTAAGATTTGGTGTGTGTGTTTGAAAACTGCTGAGGAGTTTATTGGTCGTGGTCTTAAGGCTTTCCACGCTCTTTCAGCCTAGTTGTTTTTTCCGTCCAGTCTCTCAAATTTATTCTTTGTCACATATTCATCGAATGCTGTAAACTCCTGGTGTCTCGAACGGAATTTGGTCTTTGATGAAAAAAGATGCTGAGAGATTTTTCGACAAGTGGCAAATCCAGTTGTAACACTATATTTTTTAAGAAATTTTGTTAGTGCTCAGTAATATTCTGAATGTAAGGAAGGACAATATAGACAAGTGTGGGGTTGCTTGTAGAGAAGTGTATTTTCTAACTGAACGCTTAATATCTCCAATGTGGGAATTATTTTAAAGAAAAGCAGACATTAGGTGTTTTAATTCTAAGGCTTTGTAAAAAGAGAGTTGATAACCGATGATTTTTGGGACCGTTAATTCAGAATATCTAAGAATGGGAGATTATTTTTAGTTTCTCATTCAATGGAAAAACGTTTTTTAGGGTGTATAGAAAAAGTGTCGACGACTTTCTTCCCAAAATCTTCTATATCCATATTTCCGATTACTAGTGATAATGGGGAACCCACAGCTGCGGCGTGTGAAGATGAGATGGTTTAATTCTAAATTGCCGGATTTTAATATATCTGAAATAATGTTCAGAGTTTCAATTGTTCAATAAAGTGAATTAATTACAAAACTATCAGTTTTCCTCGTATAGGGTTTTAATACAGAAGATAGACATTTTGTTAGAGAATAGATTGAAGAACCAATATGAGGATAAGATTCTAGAGCAATGCATTCGGGCACTTTTTGGGACAAACTCGACATTTAAAATCATTTCCTGTTTTGGGATAATACATGAGACAAATACATTCGGTAGTTAAGAAGAAAAAAATTGACTTAAGTATTATTTGGATCACTGTGTAGTCCCTTGGCATACCTAATGAGGTTTTGTTACACTACACCGTTCCCTGTACTTTAATAGGAATTTGCAATTTAATTGGAACGCCATATTTGTTCACTTAACGAGAAATGTACTTTTAAATTGCCCATGTAAATGTATACTGAATTTATTAAATACTTTTTGATTAGGTTGCATTTAAAAAAAAATCAAATATTTATAAAGTCTTAACGCTGTGATATACATATTTTGTGATATTTACGTATTTATTTTATTTATTATATTTATTTGACATATTTAGCGGTTTAGTTATATTTAAAATGCAGCCATAACAGACCCCTGCGTATTTGAAAAGTGAAACTTTTTGGAAAACCTTGTATTTTAGCAGCAATATTTTGTTAGTAACCCTGTATCATGAACGACTACCAAGTATCGATCTGCAAACATCAGCTGGTTGCAGCCGGTTAATCCGACGCGGCGGTCAGAAGATAAACAGTATAGAAAGTTATCAAGAAGACATATCGTGGAACATTATTTATTTATCAGTCGGTTGTCGACATTTACTATAAATATATTAAGCAATTGCGCTTTGTTAGTCAAAAAGTGCCTGAATCGATATGATACGTAACGTTGCTGCGATTTCAACCATTTTACTCCTGGGTAAGTAGATATTTACCCACTCATTACGAATAAACTTAACCGGCTGCATGTGAGGCAAGCTGCATAATAAAAATAATATACAGCCAGAATATAATTTGCTAATACATATGGCGCGTTATTATTTTGCTTATTGTTTGTTTTATTTGTTTTGTTAAAACAGGCTGAGTATTATTTAGTTAAATCATTTTTTAATCGAATCGAATTTTAGACTTACCAATTGATCATGTGAAGTAAATTTCATTTAGATTTGCGACAAAAAGCGTGAACACCTATCACAAAATTCTACTTTGCTTTTAAAACCATTATTAACGCATTAGGTAATTAATTATTATATGTAATACACACAATTACTTCAAAAATGTACTCTGAGTTGGTATACCACAAAATAAAATTTAAAACTTTGATTGGAATCAGCCTATGCAAATATTTACTGAAATATAATATAATGCTAAACAATAAAACAATTTGGAGTATGATACAAAGTGTTTTTCGCAAGCAAGGTATATTTTTCTACAACCATTAGTTTTGTGGACGTGTTTGAAAACATCACGAATATATTCACTGCAAAGTCTGATATCATCAAAATAGACAAACGTCTAAATACTATCTGTGTGCCTGTGCCTACCGAAAATCCTCGGACCTGTATGCCGGAAACGTTCAAAACTGTCGCTCTTGCCAAGTTGTAATGCATAGAGGAAAATATTTGTTTTATAAATAAAGCAATATTAAAATTGTGTTATTATATAAAAAAAAAGTAATTGTTAATGGTAAGGTGAAGGTAAAGTACAGTTAATTAACGACATATCCATAATTTATGCTGAATAATAAGAATTTAATTGCAATAAAATTTTACAGCACGTTTTAAATCTGACTCAAACTTAAAATCAGATTCAACGTTGGGAGTATCCTCTACCAAATAAATGCTTTCTTTTCTTTTTTAATGTTTCATCTCTCATACTTAAATATGCATTTTCAAAAGCCCCACCTTGCCCAATATGCTTGTTGTAAAAATTGTTAGTTATGCCCCAAACTTAGTCTATGGCGCTAAAACTGCAATAATACTAGTAGAACTTTGTCGCTATTTTCCCCAGCCCAATGTTCAATCAGATATTTAGGTGGTGGCTTATTTCTTAAACAAGAACACAAATTCAAGAATAGAATCTCGCTAGTTCAATGAATAGTTTAATTTGGTAACATCCTGTCTAATATCTAATACTGAAAATTGAATTAGCCTATTGCGATATCTATACGTTAAGTCAGCGGGTACAACGACCGTTGATCTACAATTGTAGTTTTGCTGATTAATGTTCAACCAATATACATGTTGTCCCAGTAAGGGAAACGAGGGACAATATTAGTGAAACGGAACGTCCTAGAAATAAAAAGAACGAATGATATAAATCTGCCAAGACAAAATTGTCGAAATTATTTTCGTGTCTCTGAAACGACCACCAGGGGACGTAATTATCATCTTCAATTTTAAAACTCAGTTTCTACAAAAATTTCAGTGACAATGTTCACTATTTTAAAGTTGATAAAAATCCAAATCTTTTTTGATTGATGCTTTTTGCTCTATCTCTGCAAGGAAAATGGTGAAGGCATTCGAACATCTTAAATAATTAACCATATCTCAAAAAAGGCTTACATATTTTAATAAACTCGGAGTTCTTAAAAAAGGATTTTCCCATCAATTGTGCTATCAGAAACGCGATCGTGATTGCTCAATTTACCACCAGATGGAGATTTTCTCTAAAAAAAGAATATTACAAATTACAAATAACACCGTGAAAACCGCATCCCAATATCTTGATCCTAATCTAAAATATGAATAAAAGAATTTAACGCTCATAAAAAGGATTTTGGGAGTTCTACTGGCAATTCTGAGATTTTGACAAGCGTCAATTTGTCGTTAGGTCAGATATAAACAAAATTCATTTTCATGACAATCTTTATAATTATAAACAAATTATTTATTTCAAAATACTACTATATTATGCAACAACTTTTTCTACCACCGTCAGTTTTTGGGCACATTTTTGGAAAACAACACCAATACAATCACTGACATGAAAACATTAGATTGCTCCCAAACCCGTGCGGTAATATCCAGGAAATGTCCGAAGTGACTCGGATCCGCGGACACAAACTCACGTGATAAAGTGACGCTTTCCGCACGCTACATCGGTGTTTAAGTGGGCATTTTACAGAAATGAGTAGAAAAAATATGTTTTTTAATAGTTTTCCACATTTCACTACTTAAATAGGTCAATAGTTAATAAAAATCAATTGGTCTCCAATAATAGATCCCTGATAGTGTTGGAGAAATATTTGATAACAGCTAAGCAGATCAAAACATAAATACTATTTTAAAAAAAGGAATAAACATAAATAATAACATTTTATTTTAATTCTAAATATCATTTGGCATCCTAAATAATAAATGAATGTTTCAATTGATAAATTCGAGATAATTCGACATTAAGAACAAAACGTAAAGTGGAATTTTTTCATAAATTTCAATCTTTTTTTATCATTTGGCTCTTATATTCATATTAAGTTGGTTGTTGAGCCCTTATTTGACTATGTAATGACAAAATCTCATATTATTGCATTTATTCTTTTTCCAGATTTTTTTTTTTTGCAATTATGTCATAAAACTCCCCCTGGTGGCAAAGGAAGCGCGTCTCTCATAGTAATCATGTAATCCTGGTTAACAATAGAAGTTTTTGTAGAAATCGAGTTTTAAAATTCAAAATAATAACTATGCCACCTGGCGGTCATTTCAGAAAATAATTTCCAGCATTTTTGATCGATTTACCTTTTTTTATAATTTCTAGGACCATTTGTGGCCTTAATAGCCTTAATAAAGTATTTCGTCGCTGTTACTTTAAGACGTTAGGTTTATTCGCTAGACATTTTCGACATTTCCGATACAAAAATGTACCCAAAACGATTCGTCGCAGTCACTTCTTTAGTCACTCGTTCACTAAACACTGGTCCTGGTGCCCTCTGCTCGTGTCCAATTAAACTTTTGACTGCAATGACGTTTACCAAACTTATTGCCTAATATATCATTAACTCGCTTTTAGTTTCTGAAGTAATTAAATGAATATATAGTTTTGCAACTACACACCGTTTTTACGACATAATTCGATATTTAACTTTGCTAAATTTTTATGCAGGTCTAACCGCAAACCTACCTCGCTTGGGTTTTCTCTCTTTAACCCTCAATAAATAGATTCGCAATTCCACAATGACGTTCCAGAACCGTATTTCGGTACTTTGTGCATACAAATGCTGAAAGCTGACGGATTTGTGTAAAGTTGAATCAGTGGGATTCGTCGATTATTATTAGTCCATGCAGTGAAAAATCCATTCCTACTTTAAAATGTTTATTACAAATTTAAATTAAAAAAATTAAAAAAATAAATTTTGCTATAAAACAATGTTAGAACATTTATTTTAAAAAAAGTTATTCAACATAAAAATAATCACTATCATCACTGTACTCGCCCCCCCCCCCCCCCCGCCCAACAATAATAATTAATTCTGACAAGAGTCGACTTCTGTAAACATTTTTCCCAACTAGAAGCAGATATTTTTTCTACTTCACTTCTAATTAATTCTGTTGCCCCAGAACTAAATTGTGGCTAGGTGTTGTTTCTTCTTAAACTCGGTTTCAGCTGTCACCATATCAGTCCTATCGGATTAAAATTGTAGTGATATGGTAAAAGACGGACAACGTTGGATCCCCGCTCCATGGCCAACTTGTCCACATTATCAGACGTTCCCGTCTTAAGAATTGCCAATAACTGCTTCTTTGTGTACGATTTTTCAAAATACATATCATTTTCAAGCAAAAAATGTTAAATGACTTCTTTACTCGATGATGAATTCGGTATTTTTTCCGATTATGCAAAAATGGTAGGTGGCGTTGTCCATCACGACAACACTGTTTGGTGGAATATTCATTTTTTAAAGATGTCTGTTGCCATGTTTTCGTGCTTCTTTGACATCTTTTGCAGAAAGCAACAAAGCGTTATCTACCCAACGAGCTTCAGAGCCCTCATATGGTATGATAGTTCGTTTGCCCCGCAAAACTGGCACATTGGATTTTGTCTTCCACTCCGCAATTCTTCTTGATTCCATCAAAACTTGTCTCTTATTGATGTTTTTGTAATAAAAGCCAATTCTTCGTACGAACACACGCAAAGTCTCTTGGTAACAGTCAATGTTCAAAACACTACGCAACTCTTCATGTAAAGTTTTAATTTTTAAAACAATATTCTTCTAATACGCATCATATACAACCGTCTCATTATTCCGGTGCATGTCAAGTAGACTTTTTGGAACCCCACGATACTTCCGCGTTTTTCTTTCTCGGACACCATTCATAACTATGTCACGTACTGTGACATACGATGTATTAGTCATCTCGGACGTTAATTTTGTCACTCTACTTTCCCAAAATGTCGATTTCAGAAACACAAACACATTTGAAATTATAATTTTGGCAGCAACCGGCAAATGTGTCCGAGTCTTGAATCCATTTGAAATTGACGTATGTTCATCTTCAACTATTATTACGTAATCGATCACAATCTCAACTTCTTCGTCGTTGGACATTGCAAATAACTAACAAAATTGAATAATGTTAATATTTGGTAAGAATTAAATTGTAATAAAATGTATATGGTACCTCAATAAAAATGGCACACTGAGTCTTGAAGAACAATTCAACAAGAGTAAGTTGATAATTGCTAATTACAATCACAAGACGGAATAGAAATAACTAAAAAAGCTTCGACGGCTAAGAAAATAACTAACCAAAACTGACAACATACTCCGATTTCACCAACCCCCACAAACCAACCATTTGGATTTAAAACATCCATTATAAATCAATTAACTACATAAGATTTTGTATGCCTTCCCTAGGAAAATAGTTTAGAGTGACTATGTTAAACCCTTAAATTGGAAATCAGTTTAAGCTTTCTAATGTGCTTTTAATATCAGCTATCTAATGTGCAAATTCTACTTGAAATCGAGCTACCTGAAGCAGGAACTATTTTAGGAAGATTTATAAACAGCACACTAATATGAATTAATATAACAGTTTAGACAGCACGGCACAATCTTGAATTCATAGATTCTTAGTAGAAGCACCAGATAAACACTTTCTTTTTTTTATGCACATTCCAAACATCAAAATAAATAATCCAAGGTAAAAATAAAAACAAATTTAACCAACAAGTCATAGACAAGTAGCTACTCCTGTTTTAACTACCCAACTAAACTTGTTATTCTTGTTGTCGCAGTTCAGCGACCTTCGACATGGTTTTTGGAGGTCGTCTCAAGTTCTGAATGATGCATTGAGAATTCCATGCAGAATAAAATTAATATAACTGACAAAATTTAATGCAGATATGGTATTATAGCTGTACGCTTAACATTAATATTTAAAAATAGTTTTTACTGTGCACTAATTTCGGGTTGGCAAAAAAATGGTTATAAAGATTAAAATTCTATATTATGCAACAAGTTTGGTAAACGCCATTTTAGACACAAATTTCGTTTGGCACTATCACAATCGGAGCTAGTATTTTTTGTGTGTCCAGTAAAAGTCTATTCATATAATAAAATGCCTCTTTCGAGACTTACAGTACAGTACGCAAACTATTATATTTTTTTACAAAACAATTGTAAAATGTAAGTATTTTATTCGTACATTTTGGTTTTTATTTCAGTAAATGGTGCTGTAGTGCCAAAGTGGAGCGAAACATATAGAGTTAAAGGAATTCTGCACATTCCTTACGCAGAAATCGATGAACCTTTTTTCGCTTGGTAAGTCGAAAAAAGTCATGCAAAGCCCTTGAGAGTGTAATAAACCCCAATTAAATATGCAATAATAATCTGGTAGTATATCAAGTTAACCTTAACCAAAAAAAATTTTGTTTGCGATGTTTCTTGTTTCTCGAAAAAGTAGCATCATTGAAAAATGCAGACCCGATTCACCGGCAATCAATCAATCAATCAACTATATTTGCGCCACATAGTTACTTTTATAATTTTAACTGGTCTAATATCATATTTGTTAACTTTGTGTTTTGCCGTAGGTACGACGGACCTGATAATCAATCCAGAATCGATTACTACGGAGAAATGGCGAAAACATATCAATTATCAGGAACATTTGGATACGGCACCAGTGTGAAAATAGTTCCGGTAACCACGGAAGAAAAATTGAATGCCAAAACTTGCCTGCAAGTTAACGGCTCGTCGGAAAATCCGATCGGCGTTCAAACGGTGTTACCCGATTTAACCAATTTTCAACTAGCAGGTATTAAATAACTATTACTTTTCGCACCGAAAATGACATTTTTCGCGTCTTGTAGAGCGTTGGTTTCCAGATTTTTTTCTCTTATAGGCTACTTTCAAAAATTTTGTTAGTTCCCGTGGACCCCCTGCAGCTACATTTCTAACATATTCCATATAAATGTAGACGTCGAGTCTCCCTCGGACCCATCAGGATCCACCTGGATCACTTTGGGAACCACTACTGTAGAGTAATAGTTCACTTTTCATATTTTTAGATTCTATATTTCTGACAAATTTGCATTATTTACAGCGAGTAACTGCACCAGGCAGTTATTTTTCATATTTTCCGCAATTAAGGCTCGTATTTATATGCCAAGAATTTACGTGAAATTCGCGCAAATATATACACACTAAAATCTCGAAATATGCAACAATATATATCTTTTTTTTTTTGAAGAAGCTTCAGCAGGCTGTGGAACTTGTAGGTACACATAATCTGGATTTCTCCTGCGGCGGGTGTGGGGACTAGATGCAAATATTTTGGTCTTATCGAATAAAATCTGATGACCCCTTTCCCAACAATGTTCAGAAACCGCTGATGAAGTTATTTGTAAATTCTTACTGATCTCTGATGTTTTTCGACCTATTTCGCCGATGTATTCTTTGTCACAGCTGAATGGTATGCTGTAAACACACCTGCCAACTATATGTTTTTCAAAATTCTTGACTTTTAAAGATTTTCTTATTTCAGTTTGCAATTTGCAGTTATCTTAGTGTGTGGTGATGTGGTGGTGTGTGTTCTCCTATAGCCTGGTTACAAATTGAACCAAACTTAGTCCTTACTCCGCACAATATCACACAAGAAAATTCTGAGCTGATTGATACGTTTTCCTTTACTGATCTCATGCAGTTTAATAGTATAACTCTTTTTATGATGACACTACCGATGACGATGTAGCGGCAATATTTGTAGTTTGTATAAAAATTTGTTTTCGATTGCGTCCTTGCATTCTCTCTTTCTCTTGTCACTTACTCTCAAAAGAGTATAGTGGCATCATGTCTCAATTGCTCGGATCGTAGTTCTATATCCTTATTTGTCTTGAACTTTCCTGCAGACCGTGAACAATGATTTTTTTGTTCGAAGCACCCCGCGCGTCGTAAATCTTCTTGATGGTCATTTGCCATTAATCTTTCCCTCCACAAAAAGTTTTTCCTAAGAACCAAGGGTTTTGATTTTGTTAACTTCCTGCCATTAAACGACAGACTCTTTGGTATCAGACTGATGGAGGTCCTGGTCAAAGAGCCGCCAGGCTCAACGAATATTTAGATAGAAGTTTTCCACGAAGACGGACACGGCGCCGTTCAGAAGTACTGTGGTCACCTAGGTCATCGAACATTACAACAGAGAGATTTTTTTCTTGTAGGGTCATTTGAAACGCTACCTCAAAGTTAAAATCATTTTTGTGCAAAAAGACGTGGGACAATGTGGAAACCTAGGTTTTTGAGTCATTTAGTTTCACTTAAGTTGTAACAATATTTTTATACATCATAAAAGTAGTTCTCTTTATATTTTTTATTAAGTCATAGTTAGTCTTAAATGGTTGCTATTTCTTGTTATAGCATATCTTTACGACTGTTATGTCCAATATACAAATATTCTTGTTGAAATTTATTTTTTCACCAAGCAGGACCTGTTAATAGGCACTTTTGTTCGCAAAGTTAATACTTAAAAAAAAAACAAGACAAGGCTGCATTGTGCCACTGATACAAACTGCCTTACACCGCACTTTGGATTGACCTTCAATCTCCCAAAATGCAAAGCAGCACAAGCAAAATAATAATAAGTTTTGCTACTCCCATGTTTTCCGAGGTACACAGTCACGACTTTCCACAGTAAGCCTTGCTACAGTCAACAAAGCACAAATAATTTTTTATATACAATTCAAATGCTTTTTCTATTATTTGTCTTACATGCATCCTGTCTTTGCATTAAGCATTTGGAAATACCTGAAAACACATAGGGGGTGTATTTCTCCGCTTACTTTGAAAAGTTTACCTCACCGCTATACATTTTTTCCACTTACCCCGCCCTTGTCCTGTTTCCTGGCTGTTTTACCATAATTTTCTTACTAACGCGTTCCGAAGGTATTTTGACTAGAGCCCATTCAAGTCCTTTAATTGAAATGAGGTCATTACAGTACAGGACGTAAACGATTATTGTTTAAATTGTAGGCAATGACAACTTGGGTGAAAAGTGGGAACTGACCACGACTATCGGTCAAAAAGTGAACAAGTACAGCTTATGGGTACGATACAAAACAGACTCCCAAAACAATGCCAAAATAGCTATTCCCGTAAGGTAGAGTATACAAACCGATATTCGCATTACTAATATTTTAGCACCATATATACGTATTTTTGTACAACTTTCAGAAATATGTCTTAGGAACATACTTCTGGAAATATGTCCTGAAACATTGCAAATATATGGAAATGTTGGAAATATATGAATTTAAAAAAATGAATTATAAAAATCATAACAAAACTCCTCAAAACAGAGAATACTTTGCTTAACTGCTCCGTTATTAGTAAGTCTGTTTCTCTTATTGGATGAATATGTTATACGTAATACTGAGTTATCATAACTTCTTTTATTTCCAATTAACTTGCCGCTTCTTTAACAGTAATCTGCTATTTCATTTATTATTTCTTGTTCCTTTATATTGGGTTTATTTTTTGATATAAAGACAATTTGTGTTTCATCAAGTTCAGAACCTTGTGATCCTATATTTAGTAATTCTGCTGCATAATAACCTTTAAAGCAAATTTTTTCTTTTATCAACAAACTCCAATTGGTATTTTTCTTCGTCTTCAAGTGAAGACAATGCAAGGTTGTTCTGAACTACCCTTTTAATATCACAAAATGCTTTTACGGCAATGTAAATAGTCATACAACTTTTAGCCCATAGGTTAAAAATGATAATAATATTGAATTCTAGATAAAAAACAACGGCAACAAATCCAATTTTCACTTTTCTAATAATCTTTAGTATTATCGAGATACGAAGGGGTTCCAAAATCATTCCGCATCTCAAAAATCAAAAGCGATGTAGTCCGTAAAAACATCGAAAAATGGACGCCTGCTATTGATTGACGTTAATAAAATTGTTGAAATTATTAATAATTCATTTTTTGCATAATTCGCATTATATAAGGTTGTTCGGAAAGTCATTTCGTTTTTTCCCGTCAGAGGACTTAATTACGTTTTTTCGAAACCAACTTCACACTTAAGCCGCATAACCATTATATGTCTTGAGAGCTGATATTGCAAGGCTTGTGTGTGAAAAAGTTCTACATATTTTACTTTTTTACTTCAGAAAAGGTAAAAATACTGTCCAAGCGAGAAAAAAATTGATGGATGTATATGGAGAAGGCGTGTTAACAGTACGCCAGTGCCAGAACTGGTTTGCAAAATTTCGATCCGGCAATTTTGATGTCGAAGATGCACCACGGTCTGGAAGGCCGGTCGAAACTGACAAAGATGCGATAAAGGCATTAGTTGATGCAAATCGGCGAATAACCACACGAGAGATCGGTGAGAGATTAAATTTGTCGAATTCGAGTGTTTATGGCCATTTGAAAGGCATGGGCTTAACCTCGAAGCTCGATGTGTGGGTGCCCCATGTCCTTACGGAGCGAAATTTGTGTCGTCGCGTTGACGTGTGTTATTCGCTCCTCAAACGTCAAGAAAATGATCCATTTTTGAAGCGGATTATTACTGGGGACGAAATCTGGCGCCTTCCGACTACTATTTGTTCCGGTCCCTGCAAAATTTTTTGGATGGCAAAACCTTTACCTCAAAAGAAGATGTTAAAAACCACCTGAACCAGTTTTTTGCCAGCAAGGACCAAAACTTTTATGAGAGGGGAATTATGTTACTGCCAGAAAGATAGCAAAAGGTGTTGGACCAGAATGGCCAATATATAATTTAATAAAATATTTATTCATTATACGAAAAATGTCTTTCATGTTCCCCAAAAAAAAACGAAATGACTTTCCGAACAACCCAATAAAAGAATAGCGCACCTATAAAATGTGAAAAAGTGCAGCGGCACCACCAAGGAGTTTTGCTACAAAGAGTTTTCCAATTTTCCATCATCTTCCCTAGGAAATGAAGACATTTTCATTCGCCCAATATGTTTTGTTCTTGGTTGTACTTTACGATAGGAGTAAATACTTTAACTGTACACATCAATCGAACCGAATATATACTACCTTTGCAGGTACGAAATGCGAGGCTATAATTCGTTGCTGGGTAGTCACTACGACCACTATTATATTGAATATTTCGACTTCGACATCAGCAGCATTCCCGAACAGACATTCCAGATCGATCCCGGCAAGTTTCCTGATTGCGTTAGTACACAGTTTATAATAAATGACATTTCAGCACTGACATGCAGTAGCTTCCCGGGTCCCGGTGATAAACACATCGCTACTTTCAACCCCATAGCGGAGTTCATAAGACCGGAGCAACAAGGACACGTTGATATAGAGTTTGACAAGTTTGTGAAGAAACACAGCAAACACTACGTCGATGCGTTGGAAGAGATAGTTCGAAAGGAAGTATTCAGGCAAAATCTACGTCTGATTCATTCCGTCAACAGACAAAAAAGAGGTTGAGCAAAAAGTCGCCATTATTTTCCGTTTCAATTTATTAAAATTCTAAAGTGTTCGTAAACGTTCGGATATTTATGAAGGCCCGGAAAAAACTTATAAAAAATCATTTATTTAAACTGTATTTAAACTGTACAGTTAAGTAAGATGAGATCAATGAAGCGTCTATGAAAGTTCATCTAATAGTTTTCTACAACGAGTTTTATAAACAAAACTTTGGTTAGTTTTGCATGCACATCAATGCTAAGGTGGTTGCTCTGTGAGGAGAAAACCCTGTCAATAGTTAATTCTTTTGTATTTGTTAAAATTAATCAAATCGCAACATCTACGTACGTTCACGATCATTCAATATGTGGTAATTTTCGGTGTTTTATGCCGAGATACTTCCTGTTCCTGGAGCGTTAAGAATATACACAGTCATTTTTTAAGGATCCAGTAAGACTACTAGTCGTTAATTTGCATATGTAGTGTTATTCAACCAAACTAAACTTATTGTATGTAATCAATTTTTTTATCAAATAAAAATCCAGTAACCCATAACAATCTCTAACTGCCACTCAGGTTTTGACCTTTCCCAATATGAAAATCAGTCAATGTTCATCAGCTTTAGCTCCCTACGCCTCCAGCAGTATATAAAGAAGTAAGGGTTAGAATGCAAAACAGTTTCAATTATGTTCTGAGGAAGCCAACAGGATGATTGGCGAAACGCCAGAAAGTTCAGTTTCTCTAACAAATCTAACTTACCTTCAAAGATTTCATTTCTGAAGGCTGAAATTTCTCCGGAATTTACAACTAGCATGCACTTCGGATGTTTCCGGTACAGGGTAACGTTTGTCGAACTAATGATCCTAGAAAAAGTAGTTTGGAACACATTGGTAAACATCTTCTGTGTCTGATTAATAAGTACTCGCTTCGCTTGTGCCAAATTAAATTCATATAACAAATTATATATTTTTGGCAGGTATTTTAACCCGATCGCCATGACATATTACTGAAATATTACCCAAAAATGTAGTAATGATGAATTCGATCTATTTTCTAGGTTATACCCTTACGGTAAACCACCTGGCAGACAAAACAGAGAACGAGTTAAAAGTGCTTAGAGGAAAAACCTTCTCAGGGGTTTACAATGGAGGATTGCCGTTCCCATACAAAAACATCAAGTCATCCGACTTGCCCGTTCAAGTCGATTGGAGGTTATATGGCGCTGTAACACCCGTAAAAGGTTTTATCAAAGATTTTCACTCATCACGCGATTTTCATTGATGTATTCTAGATCAATCTGTCTGTGGTTCGTGTTGGTCTTTCGGAACGGTTGGTGCAGTTGAAGGCGCATATTTTTTGAAAAATGGAGGAAATTTGGTGAGGCTTTCCCAGCAAGCACTGATTGATTGCTCTTGGGGGTAAGCATTGTGAAAATCTACTAGAAAAACTTACGTTTTATACATTATAGATATGGCAACAACGGCTGCGATGGAGGCGAAGACTTTCGAGCTTACCAGTGGATATTGAAGCATGGAGGAATTCCAACGGAAGAGGATTATGGCCAATATTTAGGACAGGTAATGAAGTATAGCTCCTAGTATGTAATTATACCAAAACAAATATTTTTGCTTTTCAGGACAGCTACTGCCATGCAGACAAAGTTCGGAAAGTAGCCAAAATTTCCGGCTGGATCAACGTTACAACAAACGACGAGAATGCTCTCAGGCTCGCCTTGTTCAAACACGGGCCAATTAGCGTTGCTATAGATGCGAGCCAGAAAACCTTCAGTTTCTACTCCAATGGAATTTACTACGACGAAAACTGGTATACATCGTTTTATACCAACTTGGTAGCATAAGGTCATAAATAGAATGTTTTTCAACGCATAAATATTGGAAAAAATCAATGCGATTGCAAAATAATTGACAATATGGACATGACTACTGTGTAATTTGTTTTAATCTATTAAATTTTGTAGTAATCAAACGCCTGAAAAATATTCGTAAATTTCATAAATTTCAGCTACTAAAATAAAAATTTCAAACAAAATTGGGTAACAGAACGAGAAAATTACATGTGTAGAAAAGATACCATCCATGATACGGACCCAAGATATACCAAGAAAACTGTGGGCAGAATAGAAATGCTGTAATTCCTATTAAAGATCTAGCAAATATTTTGGATCATATGATTCGTTATTGATTCAGAGGTACCGTCCTGTTCATTAAAAACCCGTAATTTGTGATGGTGTAAATAGTCCTTTTTTATTATAGGAATTTAATTAAAAAAATGCATGGCGTCAGTTATTGGTAAACTTCTAAAAGTCAAACATTTTAAAATCACAAATCGTGGGAAAAATTGAAAAAGATGGCCAATTCGTGCCGTAGCTCAATTTTGTTGCTAACAGTTATAGAAATTAAAAAGCGTTAGGAGCAAGAAAAGATCAGAGGTTAGTACTGAAGAAAGAAGAACTGAAGCTAACAGCAAAACGCGGAAAAGTTCGGGAGGTGGACGTACCTATAACAACCCAATTCAACAGAAATATATACCATACCAACGGAATGGCTAGAATCGCCCTTTATCCGAAAAAGGAAAATGCGATGAAACGTGATGATATCGTACAATCAGCTTGATGAGTCACACGCTGAAAGTGTTTTTGAAAGCTATACGCTGCAGAGTATTTCAAAAACTGGAAGACAATATCTGAGATATTCAGTTTGGTTTTAGGACGCATTATTTGTATACAATATCCTCATAAAATGCTGTCTCGATGTCAATCAGGAAGTTAACGCCTATAAATTACAATAAACAGTTTGATAGAGTGAGGCATAACCAGCTAGTAAAAAAAATCTTCTATCTGGTTCAAATAATACGAGCACCAAAATATGAGATACTTCATTTGATAATCCAAAGGAAGATTGTGAGCCCAAGGATTGGGAGAAGGATATTGCAGAATCTATGACAATGGATCTTCTCAGAGCAGCGATTTCTAAGGTCAGAATTTCTATAATACTGACAAGCCTCTAATAATGGAGAAGAAACATGAAGAATAAAATGCTATTATAAATAAAAGTACTAACGTTAGAACTTCAGCTTTTGTTGTAACTTGTTCTTTGGTTTTGCAATGTCATTATCCATGAAAACAAACAAATTCTTTCTTTATTAGCAACTAGTCATTCAAAGATATCGATATATACCTCTTCCTCTGCAACACGTTATTAAAATGTGTAGTTTACAGTATGCAACTGATTAATTCATTGAGGTACAATTTTCTGTCAAGATTCTGTAGTTCATATGAAGTTTTAATCAGATCATCAAGCTCGTGCGGCACAGCGTTGCAGTCATTTAAATATTTTCCTTTAATCGAAATATTTTATATTGTAAACATAAAAGACATTTATCGCTTACATTATAAACAATGTATCAAAGCTAGATTTTAAAGATATTTATTAACAACTCCATATTAATTGCTCATTTATCAATCAAAATAAAAAAAGATAATGTTCAGCACCTCTATTCCAAGTCACTGAAATCACTAGAATCACTAATAAGTCAAATAATCTCCTGTCCTACCAACTGAATCGAGAACGGGGAATTAAAATTCCCATTATGCTGGTCCGGAGCCGAATATTTACATGGTTGGCGATGGTGGTATTTAGGAATCGCGTCATCGATAACGCAACTAAAGCTTTATTTGGTATGAGCTATATAATATCTACCTTTATCGAATTGTTTAACTCCATATCACTACCCATTTTATTTGATTTGTTTTATACAGGTCGCAATATATTAATGCCATTACATTCTTACAGCAAAAATAAAGAGGACGAACTTGATCACGCAGTACTCGCTGTTGGCTACGGCACCATGAATGGAAAGAATTATTGGTTAATTAAAAACAGTTGGTCCAATTACTGGGGCAACGACGGATACATTCTGATGTCGTCCAAGAACAATAATTGTGGTGTTATGACGACTCCTACCTATGTAGTAATGTAATACTCTCATGAAATTCAGACAATTAGATTATGTTCATTTCTTAGAAATACAGAATGTTTTTATAGTTGTTTTTATGCTATCGAGTCCCATATAACTGTCATTTCCTAAGATTCCAATGGTTACAGTGCAGAACACATTACTGGTTTTTTTATTTTATATATATTTATTTATTTTATTATATGCGTTTAGGTAAAGGACGAGTTTGATTATATATATATATATATATATATATATATATATATATATATATATATATATATATATATATATATATATATATATATATATATATATATATATATATATATATATATATATATATATATATATATATATATATATATATATATATATATATATATATATATATATATATATATATATATATATATATATATATATATATATATATATATATATATATATATGATGACACTATATTCCGGGATATCATATATATATATATATATATATATATATATATATATATATATATATATATATATATATATATATATATATATATATATATATATATATATATATATATATATATATATATATATATATATATATATATATATATATATATATATATATATATATATATATTCTCACGTATTGATTCACGGATGGAAAAATGTGATGACACTATATTCCGGGATATCATCCGTTAGCTCGTTGAACTCCGACTGAAATCCTGCAAATCCTGCATCCGACTGGAATCCTGCAGACGTTTCGCCAAGTGAGATTTTGGCGAAACGTCTGCAGGATTCCAGTCGGATGCAGGATTCCAGTCGGATGCAGGATTCCAGTCGGAGTTCAACGAGCGAACGGATGATATCCCGGAATATAGTGTCATCATATATATATATATATATATATATATATATATATATATATATATATATATATATATATGTAAAATATATTATATATATATATATATATATATATATATATATATATATATATATATATATATATATATATATATATATATATATATATATATATATATATATATATATATATATATATATATATATATATTATATTTCACTTTTCAAAAATAACTTTTAAAAAAATATATTTATTAACTTTAAATTAAAATAAAAATCAAAATGAAATTGGACATAATAACCTCGTGTTGAGAGAATGTTATTAGACCGTTAAAATACAAGTAAAAATGGACATAATAACCTCGTGATGAGAGAATGTTATCAGACAACGTTTTATAATAGAAATTAGTATTTATAATAAATTTATGCTGACGTTGACGGGGTCGACGGCTGCGGATGTTGCGACATATCGTTGACACGACGTTTTCGCAATCGTTGCACTCTTGCAGGTCGGTGGCATTTAACCCATGTGGACAATAGGATTTCCGGATATAACAGCTCCCCCATTAAGTGAAAAGGTGGAGCCTTGCTGCAGCTTTCGTAGACTAATTAAAGCGTAGCTTCTCGGGTAGTTACTTCTGGATGGATGCTAGTCCGTCTTTTCGGAGTTAGTGATTTGAGTTGCATCGGGAGCAGGGGTCTTCGACCTGGCTTCGGAGGTTGTCGAGGATCGTTACCATCGGCGATGCTGAGTATTGTCGGTTTCTTTCTCCGGCATTTGCAAATGAAACAGCAAAGTATTAGTTTCAGGGGTTTCAACTCTGGGGGTTGAAACTGGAATTTGAGAACAGCAATCATATGGAATCTTAACGGCGTGGCTCTTGTAGGTCACGTTCTTATATTCTTCGACACAGTGTTTAGCTCGTACTCTGGAGCTTCCAATAAATGCACTCGAATTTGTTTGCAGCTTTTTAGATCTTCAGGTATTACATAGAGTAAAGAATCGTCATCACGCGCAATATATTTTATTATTGTTGCAATTACATGAAATAAACGTGTTCGATTGTCCAAAATTGGAATAGGTAAAACACGATACAATGTGTATATTTCAGGTTCTATTAAGGGAATTCTTGGTACAAAAACAATTTTATTTTCAGTTTGAAATGCTTCTAGCTCCATAATATCTACGTACTTTACAATGCTCGAAGTATAGGGTGGTAGTGATAAATTATTTTTTTTTTGTCAAGGATTTTGAAATTTCCTGAAGAGAAATGACTAAATCTCGTGGGTAAATAATAGAGCAATGTAAAACTTTGATTCGTGTGAACGTGATTGCGTTTAATATATCGCTGAGGTAAGACTCTAGGTATACATAACCTTCCGTAAAGCTTTCGCAAAGATTAAGTGTTTTCATTTGACATTCGTAAAATGCTACGGTGTCCGAAATATCATAGAGAGATTTTTAAATTTGAGTTAGATCCTGATTAAAAGTTTCTTCGTCGATTCGGAGAGTTTAAATTGTAGAATTAAAAGATTTTGTTACTTTATTTATACATTCATTAAAGTATTCGCCGTCTGTAGAATCTAGGTTTCCGGTAATTAATTTAAAAATAGTTGTTACACCGTTAATTAAACCGCGTTTAGTTCTAAAATTAAAATTTTCTGTGTTGATAGTAATTTCTGAAAATTTCTCTTCGACTGAGTCAGCAATTATAGTTAGAAGACTAGAATGAGTTTGGATACTTGTTTTGAAGGCTGTCGTACGAGGAAAAGAATCGTCTAACATTTTTTGTGAGAGAGGAAAGTATTTTGTTATTATGTCGTATGGTTTCTCGCAGAGGTTTTAGTTTTTTTTATAAACTAGCAGCTTCCATTTGTTGTTGGATACTCTTAGACTACTTTCTTCATGGTATAAGATGCCTACTGTATTATTTACTGGAGTAATGAGGATTTGGGGTGCGACCGTAGAGATCAGTCCCAAGATCTTGAAAGAAATTTAATTTAATCGTAATAAGGTTTAAACTTGTCAAAATTAAATTTTGAAACTTGTTCGGTAGCTAAATTTTTGACAGTGGCTGAAGTTTCAAATACTTCAAGAATTTCATACGGACCGTTAAATTTATTCTGAGCTTTATCGCTAATTTGAGTTTCCTTAACATAAACTTTATCTCCTACATTATATTTAGTCATATTTCTAGAGATTGCTTGATCAAATCTTACTTTGGATTTTTGTTTTTGTTGATCAGTGCGGGTACGCGCGACTCTGTAATAATGCTGCATGCGATTATTTAGATCTCGGATGTATTTGGTGATGAGTTGTTCTTCATTATACAGAATTTCTGGAGGCCTACTAGAAGTGTGCCCAAATATTAGTTCATAAGGGGAAAAACCATGCGTTTTATTCTTTGTGTTGTTGTAGCAGATTATTGCGTATGGAAGAGCATGAAAGGGGTGTTCTTTTGGATTTTCGGCTTTATGAGCTCGGATCATTTCTGTGAGCGTGGCATGGAATCTTTCTAGTGATCCATTAGATTGTGGGTGGCTAACGCTGGAGAAAGTTAACTTTATATCGTACAAAAGATAAAGATCTTTGACGAGGGAGTTATCAAATTCCCGGCCATGGTCACAATGTATTCTAAGAGGAGTTCCAAAATGTTGGAAGTAGAGAAGAAGGGTAGTAACGATTGTAGAAGCTTTTTTGTCTTTTATTGGATATGCCTGGGTGAATTTTGTGAGTTCGTCTCTTATGGTAAGGGCGTAATTACGAACTGGGAATTCGAAAATATCGATGTTAATGCGCTCAAAAGGAGTTTTAGGAGTTTCTGTGATAACTAATGGTGTGTTGAGGTTTTTACGATAGATCTTGACTTTTTGACATATTTCGCACTTTCTAACATAGTTTTCGACATCTTTGGTCAAGGTTGGCCAATTGTACTTTTGCTTTATGCGCTTAACTGTTTCGTTGATTCCGCGATGTAAATTATTTTTTCCTGAATGGTATTGGTCTAAAATGATAGGGATCTCGTCTTGATCGGGAGTTCGAACTATATCTTGGCAGATTCTTAGTTTTATATCCTTTTCGGAAAATATAAAGGAGAATACTTCTAATATTGGAAGTTGTAAATTATTTTCAATACAATACAGTTTTGAAAGATCAAAGTCATTTTTAGCTGTGAATAAAATATAGAATAAATGTTGAACTACAGTTTCATTGTCATATGGAAGAGGGATTATATAATATTTCCTGCCTTTGACGGTTTTGCTAGAAAAAATGTTAATTTTGTTAAACGTAAAATTTATATCTTCTTCAAAAATATCGTCCATTATTTTGTTATGCAAATCATCAAGTTTTGATTGCCAAAAGAAAGTGACAATATCTTTGTGGTTTTTGTCGAGAAGTTGCGAATTAGAGGTTTCTATTTTGGAATAATCTATAAGGGATGTGGTTTTGTGAAGGTATGCGAAGTTGTTGTATTCTTCTGTAACTTCCGCTGTGTCGTCTTCGATATCTGAATTATTAGAATTGTCATCGTGAACGATTTCTTCTTTACTTGTGGATGGTCGGTTGTGAATGTCATCGTTATTAGATGCAAGGATAAAAATTTTCTTTTGGAGATCGACACAATCTTGAATATGGTTAATTTTAACACGGGATAAAGCGTCTGCGTTTTTATTTATTTTACCGGGCTTATACACAATGGTATAGTCGTATTCTTCAAGCTTAAGACGCCATCGAGCTAAACGACTACCAGGATCATTTATCGAAAATAGCCAAGTTAAAGGACGATGATCAGTAACGAGAGTAAATTTTCTTCCGAACAGATAAGGGCGGAAGTGTTTAACTGCCCATACTATGGCGAGAAGTTCCCGTTCTATAGTTGAATATTTCGTCTCTGCACTACATAGAGTTCTAGAGGCATATGCTATGGGAAGGTCTTTTCCAATTGGACCTTGTGAAAGAACTGCACCAATGGCAAATGCACTGGCATCGGTGGTTAGGACAAAAGTTTCCTGGAAATTTGGATAAATGAGTATTGGGTCACGTATCAGAGCGTTTTTAAGCTCATTAAATGAATTTTTGCATTCTGAATTGAATACGAAGGGTGTGTCTTTTTGGAGAAGTCTAGTTAAAGGTTTTGAGATCTTAGCGAAATTGGGGATAAAACGTCGGTAGTAACCGGCTAAACCAAGGAAGGATTTAATGTCTTTTGGTGATTTTGGTTCTGAAATTTTT